GGTTAAGTTACCTTCATAACGATAGCCAGAAGAAGGGTCTGTATACATTCCACGTCCGTTTCGCTGTTGATTCATTGGAAAAGAAAGCATAAAGGGCAAAAATTGGCTTTGATCAACTTCACAACAAATGGAGAAGACTCAAGATTTTAAAACCTGGTTCAATCCTATTTAAAAATTGAGCGCATTTCAATTGAGTGTCATGAGACCAGAAACAAAGTTATTAGAGAAGCCAATTAGAACGGGGAAAAATACCACAGGAAGCTAATGAGAACGCAAAGAAAATACAAGGAAACTATCTGTGGCGCGGGAAACCAGCAATGATCCCGTCACGATTGGTTTTAGTTTTGCATCTGATTGGTTGAGAGGGTGGCCCGAGTTTTGAACACCGATCTCAAAGCGATCTAAAGCAAAAATACCGCAATAGTGGATCATCTCAGAAATAGCCAATCGTATCAAGGACACACAACAAACAGCTAAATTGAACCTCCAACTGAGCAAAACGTATTTTGTCTCTGTGGTAAGCTTTCGCAGTAATTAGACTAGCTCTCTCTTTTACTTGAAACAACAAAAAACTCGTAATTGTCCACATTTTGTTATTTCTGTTGGTTAAGGAGGAACAAAATTAAGCAAAGTTAGACCTAATTCCCCATACCTTGTCAAACTCCCAGTGACCAGTGTAACTAGCTCCGTTGGAATATTTCAATCTTCCCTCACCATGTCTCATACCTAACATCCATTCTCCTGAAAGAGTCACCAAATTTTCCAACTTTAATCAATGGTAGAACTGAAGAAAGTAACCTAAAAACCAAGATTCTGTTAACAATTTTTCTAATATTTTTTTAGGGGGGGGGGGGGAACACGTCTCTGAGGATAGCGTGTTTTATGAAATTCAGTTTGATTTCAAATCTAAATATCAATGAAGATAAAATGTCGTAGTTTGCTGGTGTTTCTCTTGGAACCATCCGAGGCTGATTGTCCAAAGATCGTGTCCATTTTATTATGCTTTTTGACAAATTATATGATATTCAAACCAGTACTCAAACGGTTGATATGTGGTCGGTTTTATGTCAAAATTGCAGGAACGATTCAACAAAAACCTACCTTCATACACACTCTTCTTGTCGCTGTATGTCATTTTACCTTTTCCGTGGTGCTAATTAAAAAAAATTAATTAAGGATCAAAGTTGCGACGTGACGTGATAAAACAAAGTCAACGAGACTAACAAAATCAATTGTCAAAGAAGTGATCCGCCTAGTTACCAGCCCATTGTTCCAACAGCCGTCATACACTGATCCGTCCTTGTACGTCATCCTTCCCGTCTTACTGCGCAAGTCATATTCAAACACTCCCTCGTAAACATCACCATTGCTGTACTTCATAACTCCCTGACCAAACCGCTGTAAACATCAACACACAAAATTACTATCATGGGATACCAAACGGTTCAAATAAGACTGGAAACTGTTATCAATTGTTTTTTTAGTTTACAGTGCAGACGTCTTGTTGGAGAGAGCGAGTAACCAAAACAATCACGCGATTCTTCACCAGGCCGCTTTGTTTGACTCCGGTTAAGAATGGACGGAAAGGGGCGGGGCATCATCCCACCCCTTGCCTTCTTCTTGCCTATCTTGCGAATCTCCTCCCCCCCACCTACGGGAGTAATTTCTTTCACTCCCAAACCTTCCTCTGCTCTAAAATTCAATGTGGCGGTAAACATTTGACGAGTCATTTTGATGCCCACTCGCAAAGAACACGTCCGCATTAACCCTTTAACTCCCATGATCTCATAAGTAATTCTCCTTACTGTCTGCCATATAGTTCTTGTGATGTTAGTTTGGAGAATTCGGTATTGGATCGACTAATAATCCTCTAATTAGTATTTTTCTTTATTTTCATCAATTGTCTGCTAGATATTGTACTGATACTGTAAGGAGAAATTCTGTCTTGGTCACTCATGGGAGTTAAGGGTTAAAAGAATTCGAAGTTACGAGCCAACAACAAAACGTAATACTGCCAAATCATGATCCCTTCGCTTATGTTACGTAACTCTAAGAACAAGAACAAACAGCAGTGCTTACCGTGTTTTTAAACCAGTTTCCGTCGTAACAGTCACCATTGGCGTACTTCATGTATCCTTTGCCCGTGATATGATCTCCACTCCATCCTCCAACGTAATGAGTTCCATCAGCCCTTCTGTAGTCACCGTTCCCTCCCCGCTAAAATAAATCAAAGCCAAGAGCCGATTTACGTTGCTTACGACCAACACTTGAAAGAGCTAACTCCATAAATGAAAATTTAGACGGTGGGCTGACTCCGCGAACGGGAAAGATGAAGAGAGCCCTGTGTTCTGAATGGCTTCCCGAGCGGGCGAGAAGACAAATTAATCAAAGAGGGGTAGAAAACAACGCAAAATGAAGAAACTGAAGATACTGTGAATGGATCTTGATCGCAAACCTGATCTTCCATCCACTGTCCTTTGTACACAGAGCCATCAACATAATGCATCTCTCCGTGTCCACTGATCCGATCATTAGCAAACTGACCACTACAAAAGACAAACAAGAAAACAGAAGGATTTTTAATGGCAAGTACATGACAAGTCAAATGGCACAGCTGTTGGAGCATATCAAATGTCAGTGCTTCTGGATGGAAGGATGACATTCCAGATCATCACAGTTACCCTAAAGCATTTTGACATATTTCCTTAATAATTTGCTGGTGACTCTTCCTTGATTTAGATGTTGGCTCATTGAGTCAGTAACAGAGTGTCCTTTATAAGAACCAGGATCAATATCCCACACGCCCCCATGGTGAGAGTCCAATCTGCTTGACAATGACCCAGGCATATCAGCAGCAGGGCTGCTTTAACCAAGATCATCTCTTCTCTTATGGTTGTTAAAACGTCGGTTGCTATCACAAACCCCAATCCTTTTCAGCCTTACCTTGCCCGGTCTATGACACAACTCGATCGTTGGTTCCCTTTAACCCTTTAAATCCCAAGATCTCATTAGTAATTCTCCTTTCTGTCTAACAAACGATTCTCACTATGTTAGTTTGGAGAATTTGGTATCGGATCAATTAGAAATCCCATAATTCATACTTTTCTTTATTTTCATCAATCGTCTGCATGATATTGTACAGATATAGTAAGGAGAAATTCTATCTAGGTCCCTTAACTTACGTTTAGATGATTGCAAGGTTAGTCATTGTAAAGCAAAACAAAGCAAGGTGAGGCAACGAAACTTTGGAAAATACACACCCTCCCCCTCCCATATTGTATTTTTACCCTTCAATTTTCACAGTTATATGTAATCTAATGATAAAAAAATTCAAAGTAGGCATTATGTTAGTCTAAGAGCAGCCTCTAAATTCATGTTGCGGCACACACGGCGAAGCCCGTGGGTTTCTCATTAGAGAGTGATGCAGCCGTGCGAGAGGTCACGCAAACTTCACTCGACAGCTCGCATTTCGTGGGCTCTGCCGCACGCGTCCCATGGCCAACAAGAGCCTGATGACGGGCTTGTAATTTGACGTCAGTCGCAGACTTTTATTTGAACCTTATCATTTATCGTTTCCACTCACTTGTAAACGTCACCATTGGGAAACTGCATCCACCCTTTACCATGTTTCTGTGGAAAAGATAAATTACGTTGAGGCAACATAGTTTGTTAATAAACAGCCTTCCAAATGACTAAGCATACGTAAAGACTGCAGACACACCAACCGTACATATATGAGATCCTACACACTCACTTTACTAAGCTAGGGGTAGAGGTTCATTTATTAGCTGTGCGTTCATCACCATACAGAGCATGTGGGAAGGTTGGAAAGCACTGTCACCATTATAGTTTTATTATTGTCTTAGGAGAAAATCCCTCTACTACGCCTCAGTACATCTATACAGCGTACACAAAAGGAATATGAAGCACGCATGCGCCGATGAATTTAACAACACAAACTTACTGAATCTCAGTGGATAAGTCATGAACACGCATGCGCAGTTTAATCTAACCCCACCAAGTACTGAATAAGTCATGATGGATAATGTGCCATGACTGACCTATCCTGGAGTGCAGGCGTCTTATCAGAGCGAGCTAACGTTACAAGCTTGATCTAGAGTTAGAGTTCACCGTAAAGGCGAGAAGAAGTTCTTCTTGCCCCAACCCCTCCCCTCCCCTTATTTTTGATCGTCACTCGCCCCCTAGGTACCAGTTTCTTTCTCTCCCCAGCCTTCAACTGCCTCAATAATCAAAGATGGCAGCTAAAATTTCCACGAAGAACGTACTGAGTACACGCTCGTCAAAATTACGGCTGCTCTTAAGGCTATGACTAAACCAACATTAACACGGGAGACATTTAGACTATACATACTTGACACCCTACCAACCCTACCTTGCTCCGTGTCCAGTCCCCTTTGTAAGTCAATCCACTGAAACAACACAATTCTCCATACCCCTCGATTTCATTGTGAAAAAACTTCCCAGAGAACTCATCTCCATTTTTGAAGGTAATGGTACCCTAAAAAGGAAAAAAAAACACCCTTCAAAATGTATGGATGTCTATCGTATTTGAAACATAGCGCGCTTATGCGCTTACGCTTCTCTCGTGCTCTTCAAACTTTCCGCGTGTATCCCGAACTTGATGTACACAAGCTAAGCACCAACCAATTCTCAATTAACTTGACATACCATTTGCTCAACAACCGCAAGCCTAAAAAAACAACGAATCTTTAAATAACAGTTTTGGAAGGAAAAAGAGAGAAGCTTAATTACAAGCTCAGTTAACAGATTAAGTGACGAATGTGACAAAATCTGAGTACCCCGAGAGGAATCCAACCCCAAATCTTTGGATGTATTTCTCTGGTTGACAAGTAAGCTAAAAAAAGTCGCTTCCCACACCCAACCTCTATGTCTGATTTCGCATCAGATTATAAAATCGAGAGGTCTGAGGTTTAATTTATGTTTCGGGATATCATTTGCTTTTTTTTTGGCTGAAAAACTGTTATCATTGCTCATAAATTATAACGATACTACAATAAGATGACAATAAATATGATTATATTTGAATACACATTACCTGGCCATGCATGTCACCCTCGTACCACTGTCCTCTGTAGAGGTCACCATTTGTATATTCCATTACTCCTTCGCCATCTGTATTAAAGTGCAAAAAATAACCATGTCATGATTGCAATTCACACACTGTTCCAACCCTTTACAGCGTTTCATGTTCAAAGGCAGAATTTTTTCTTTTTTTGCCTTTCTATATACTAAAGAGGAACGAAGGATTTTGTCTACAAATTGAATTTTCCCTCGCAAAAGAAGCACAAACTATCCTTTGACGTATTCTATATAATTCAAAATTTAATTTAAAAAAAAAATTATAGTATGTCCTTTAACAATGCATGAGCTTTAAACAATGAAAGGTTTCACCTACTGGTATTTCTTGTGATACAGAAGCCCTCATTTTCCAATACACAATTTGAATTTATAACAGTTAACAACCAGCCCACGCCTTATTACCCATATGACAATTAGATGCTTCCTCCTCAAATGTTCCTTTGATACGTGATCACAATGTGTAAATAAAAAGAAGAAAAAGAAGCCTCCAGACAGTAAGTATCTAACAGTCAGGGATAGGTCACAGATCTTCCTTTGCGTAAACATTGTGTACATACGCTGTTTATCATCCAGCCAATCTCCTCTGTATTTGTCTCCACTATTGTATGTCAACTCTCCCCATCCATTGCGATCATCATCCTCCCAGTTACCCTGAAAAAAATAATGAGAAATCAGGCTTCACCTTTTAAAACTTAATTTTCCAGCACCACACCCTGTGTCTTACAACCTAATTATCCTTAGTTTATAATTTAACTGTCCTGCAATCTTTTTCTCTAAACGAAAATCATAATTATCGTCAGGTGGAGAATGCTCGGTTTTCCATGACACGTTTCTTGCATTCTTGTCTGTTATTCAGAGCATTTGGGAATTCTTCCATCCTGTATCCCGTAACATCCGTCAGTTGGTCGACATATGTTCTCTTTGGGTGTCCTGATGCTTGTTTGCCATGGCTTGGCCTCCAGAGTAGTAAATCTCCTGCTAGTTCATATTTGCTGCGCCAGTAATGTCCAGCAAGTCTTTGTTTGCGTATTGACTTGCTGATAGGGAGGGGGG